TGCAACCATTCAGATGGTCATTTCCTAGACATTAATAAATAACATTTTGGGACATCACTTTTTGCCAATAGCTGTAGAATGATTTTTTTTTTTTTTTTTTTTTTTTAATTATCTGGAATAACTTTGTTCAATGTTGCTATATTCTGCATAACACTAGACACAGGTTTTTTTTTTTTTTTTTTATCAATATTCTCATACAATGATTGATTAAAGTATGCATTTTTGGCTCTGCTTAACTTGGAGACTGACAATGTTTTATTGGCTCCAGAAAGTTACTTTCATCAATATACTTATTAGTCTCTGTCTCTCAAAGATGCATTAAAAATGTAATGGGATGACCAAACTTCTAATTTTTTCTCACTAAACTTTGTCATAGTCTTGGAGCAAACCCTGCAAGATGTGTACAATTAAAATCTTAAATATTCAAAAGAAAATTTAGAATGAAGAGAAAAAAAAAATAAATGGCACATAGTTAATACACAAAATATATATAATTTTTTTTTTTATTATTATACCCTGATAGTTGTAGTTTGTTACAATTATTTTTTTTCTAACCACATCTTAAAATTTTAAGAGGCATACATGAATATATATTTATACTCACATTTGTATACAATCTTCTCACTAGAGAAAGATTAGATTATTTTAAGATAGCAGTTAAATGTTCTCAACCAAACTCACTTGCAAACATCAGATAATATCTTGGTCAGGGCAGTTACTTTTCTGTATCCCCTTTGTAGATCTATGTCATTAGTTAGCATTCACTTGTAACTTGTTTGGCATAGTGCCAATATTTGCAAGTAGTTCCTTAACCCAGATTAGTACCATACTAAATCTTCACCCTCATAAAACTTCCTTCAGATATTTGGTTTCAAATATCTCTTCTCGCTCCTATATCATCATTATTATTTCTAACCAACTGCCAAATAATAGACATAACAGGGCAGAAACATTTTGCCTTGTGATCATCCAAGTTCAGGCTTGAAAAAAAAAAAAAAAAAAATCTTAATGAAATTTTTTTTTTTTTTTTTTTTAAACCTTTTTGTTCCATTTCTTGTGTATTTATATTTTATGGCAAAACTGGTAAGGTGGTTAAGGAAAAGTTTTAACATGAAAACAGAAGCAGCCAACAGTTTGTTTCTGGCAACTGTTAATATGCATTTACAACCTGAAACTGTTTGAAAAAAATTTTTTTTTTTTTTTTTTTTTCTGAAACCTGAAATGCAGTAGTAAAAATATATACTTATGACTATTTTTTTTCTTTCTTATTTGATACATTAGCAATGTTTATCTATTATGTTAACACAAGTTATCCACCAACAAAAAACATGAAGCATGAATAAGTGAAATAAAATAAATACTGGCATTATCTAAACAATATGAAAACATGAAGATAACTCAATTGAGTCTTATTTTTGGTCAGATACTCAACATTACAAAACCTCAATTGAATATGTATTTTAAAACTGATGTTTGAACAACTTTTCACTAAACTTTTTCACATAATTTAAAAATTAAATCTTCTAACTGCCTTCTTCAAAACCACGCTAGTTACATTTTTCTTTGTAAATCTCAGTCTAATTTGTTGCAGCTTTGACAATCTTTGTATGTGTGCATTCAAGAAAAAAGAAGACAAAATTTAAACAAAAATGGCCACATCAACATCCCACAAAGCCTTTATTCAGGAGTTTTTCTTTGATTCTGACTCCAATAATGGTTTTGGAAGCTTTGCTCAAGTGGATATTGTCAGTGAAGTGGTCAAAGATGATAACCACGCTAGTGACATGGAGGAAAGCAATGATGACTACTAGCGGCTATTATCATCCATGGCTGACTAATTTTATGGAAGCTACCTGTGACCATTGACATACTCAATAGCTTTTCTGAAAGTGAATTATTTTGTCTATAAACAACGAAATAACTTTATTTGTCAACAAGACAAATGTGATAGGTGAAAGAAATGGCAAACAAATCCTGGTGTTTTTTTTTTGTTTTTTTTTTTTTCTTGGAAGGACGTCACTTTTTTTTGACAAAATGAAGGCCTTCTTAGTGATTTTATTTCTTATTGCACCCCAAAACTTCGCAAGAAGTAGCAGAAGTGAAAGTATGTTTCAATTTTTTGTTTTCAATGTCAAAACATGCATGCAAAAGATAATGCATTACATCAAAATATTACTCCTCCATCTTTTTATTAGTATACAAGAAATACAAAATATACACAATACAAAGAAAGTTATAACAATTTTAAAACGGGTGTTTGTTTCTATGCCCTCAAAAAAAAAAAAAAAATGCAGTGGCAAGGGAACAATTCTAGAAAAAATTAGCTTTGTAAAGGTTAACAATCAAGATGCAGCTTAATGACCAAAAGGTTCAGATAAACAGCAAGAAATACAATTGCTTCCTATAGCTTCTTTAATTATATTATCTGTGGATTTTATTCATCCATTTTTATTTTATCAAAATAGACACAAATTGATCGTAAAGGAAAAAATATTACAAGAAATTTACATGTATTGAAATATTTTTCCACATTTCTGTAACTTCAGTTTTGAGAAAGGTGATGTCAGTCACTGAAAAATTTTTTTTGTTATTTAAAAGCTGGGTTGAACTACTGACAAGTCAGAAGCATAAGGAGAGGTGACCACTATTTAGATACATATAATAAGAAAAAATAATTGTTTTGAACCAACATGATGAGAAACTCTTGCACTTAATAAGGGTGGTGACATATTGTCAACGAGCAGATATTTTGAGAAAGAGAGTAAATGATCTTTATTTACATCAGTGAATCTACGTAAAAAAAATAGAATCACTCATGGAAAATTTCTACCGGTATAAAAAGTATCAGTATAAATTTTGGGGCAGTTAATGGAAATATTTTTCCCCATCCTGTGCTAAATCATTTGTCTTTTACTCTCTAATTTTGGTTGCTCTCTAAAAAACAATTTGGTAAGATTTTCCTTTTTAAAAATTCAACAAGACAAATACTTTTAAAAATTGTTTTATTTTATTTGAACTCTCAAAGAATTCAGAAAAATATTTACACTCCATCTCTTAATAACTGGTTTTCTATTCTCTGAAATAATTTCTCTAGGGAATATAGACATGTTGATAATTGCCTCTTGATAGCATTTCATCTTCCAATGTTCAAAACTTTTGTATTTTATTTATTTTCATTCTGATTAATTTCATCACTTTGGCTACTACATCCTCCACCATCCTCCTTTGGGTATTTCAATCACTGATAGAGAAAGGACAAAGGCTACTGTTGCTAAAATGTTGATCATTGCAGGTGGGAAACTAGGAGATTTATATGAATTAAATATAATGGATACCCAACTTAAATATTTTAAAAATGCATACAATTAAAAATGTAAACATTTTCCCTTCTCTCTTAACACAAAGTTTGAAATGAATCTATTGTTTTACTTAGATGGCAAACAGCTTTGCCTTGATTATGTCTATTGAAAGTAGGAATAGTTTTTTCTTTCACTTATTTTATATATTAATATAAAATAAATGAAAGAAGAAAAAAAAAAGAATCTGTTTTTCCTCATGTTCTTCAGAATAAATTTTGCCTAGATACAATTTGGATATTGTCCAAATTGTGGCATAGATGATTCTTAATCATTAACCTTTACCACATTGCAAGTGACAATAGTCTCCATAGAATTCTCTCCCATTGCTACTCTAGTCACATTGCTTCTGTCACCTTGATGAATGCTATAAATAAACATGTGAAAAAAATTAACATGCCTTTAATCAATGTTAGACCTTGTGTAGATTCTAGAATTTTAACTTTATTTGTTAACGAGATAAATAAATATGAGTCAGGTGAAAGAAAGTGCAAAAACAAGTGCTAGTGTCTTCTTATATGCAAACATGAGGAAACACATCATTTATTTGACAAAATGAAAGCCTTCTTGTCAATTTTGCTTCTTATTGCACCCCCAGAACTCTATAAGGTGTAATAAAAGTTAAAGCATATTGAATTATTTATGTATTTTTTAATGTATTTGTTTCTTATTTCACGTTTTAAATTTTTTTTGTTTTCAATGTCAAAACATGCATGCAAAACCTAATGCATTCCATCAAAATATTAATCATTCATTCTTTTATTAATGTACAAAAATTAAAATCTATATGCACAATGCAAAGAAAGTTATACCAATTTTAAAACAGGTCTTCAGGTTTTTGCAAAAAAAAAAAAATGCAGTAGCAGGGGGTACAATTCTTGAAAGAAATTAGTGTGGTAAAGGTTAACAAGCTTCTATACTACAAAGTTAAAATAATGCAGTATGTAAAAAGAAAAAGTTTCTTGTACTATAAAATTGTAAATATTCAACGTCTCCACAAAGCTATAAATGTTGCCATTCATTAAAACAAATACAGATAGTCTCTCCCATTTTTATAACATGTACATAAAACTCCTTCATATTTATCACTATTCAAGCATTTAATTCTCTTTTTTTCTTTTCTCTTTTCAGGTAACTGAAGCAGGAAAACCAAAATTACCTAACTGGCTCTACTTTAATGCAGACACACATGTTTTCTATGGAGTTCCAACACTTGCTAACATTGGTCAATACTACATAGAAGTTATTGCCCTGGCTCCTAATGGAGGTTTGGCCAAAGATGTTTTCTCCATCCATGTAACTAAGGAGAACAAACCTGTTAGTGTAACAAAACCATTGAAATCCTCCAACAGTGGTCTGGCTCCTTTTGTTCGTTGCAGCCCTGGTGAAGCTGAAACTGCTTTCACACTCATAGTAGATGCTGACATGACTCTTCTACCACCTCGCCATATTGTTAGACTTTTGAAAGACCTCGAACAACACTTGCAGCTTGCTTCTGAAATGTTTAAAGTTAGTCCAGCTGGCAACAAGCCACTATTTGATGCCTCTGCTCTTGTTTCTGGTCCTGGGAACACCAAGACTCCAAAACATCCAGGTATATTGGTGACTTGGCTTGTTGGCTGTGGTAAAGTTGAACCCCCACATATGCCAGTCTTGCAAAAGATCGAAACTACCTCAGCTAATGGGTCATTATCTGATGCTATCAAACATGGTATTATTGGTTGGCAGGTTACTAACAACAAGATTCAAGAGAAACGTGTCCGTCGAGCCATCATAGCAACTCCTTCCATAGGTCCTATTCCAACAAGCATGACTCGTCACCATGGTAGTGATGCCATGACACACCAGGTACTCACCATGTCATCACCAATTGTGCCATCAACCCGAACTCACCAAAGAACCAAAACTAAACATCCCGATGCAACTTACCTCCATCCATCTACTTTTGATCCAACAGATGGTAGCATGCCAAAGACAAAAACTTTGCCAGATGGCATGTACACCATAACAACTGGTAGCATAGAACCAACTAGAGTTGATCCAGGATTTGAGCCATCAAGACCCACCCCACCAATGACTAAGCTTCCTCAGCAGTGTATGGATCACAAGGATGATCGTCCCATGGTTGACAAAGGTATACCACCAGTTAAAGTGTTTGCTGGTCAGATAATGAAATTCAAGGTGCCTCCAGACACTTTTATGGATTGTGAAGATGGGAAGACTGAAAACCTTCGGCTTGACTTCTTTTTAGAAAATTACAAGCCGATTCCACCAAATTCTTGGTTAAAAGCTGAAAATAAGAAGCAGATGGTAATTGGTCTTCCCTTACTTAGTGATGTTGGAATCCATAATATGTCTGTTGTTGCTGTAGATTCGAGTGGCTCCAAAGAAGTCCTAGATTTCTACTTCAAAGTTGTCAATAATCCAAATATGCCCAAGTCCAAGATATCCCACAAGATAAACATGGTCATCGATATGGACTATGATGAATTTATGTCTGAAATTGGGAATCGACTTAATGTGGTGAAAAAAATAGCTCGGTTATATGGAGACAAGAACCTTTCCAAGATCTCAGTTTTGGACATCGGCCAAGGTTCAGTTGTTTTCTCCTGGACAAACAACACTATTCTCGGTGATGAGTGTCCTAAAAAAGAAACCAAGCAACTCCTCATGAAACTGGTAGATGCAGATAAACAGGTGACGGATATGGCCAAGAAGGCCTTGAAACCGTACAAACTGCTCTCTGCCCAGATCACACCAATGGGTCCATGCAGTGATAAATACGATGCAATTTTGGTTGGCTCCACCCCAGTCATGCCAGTGTCTGATAAGCCTGTTCACACACACAAAGGGGATACAACAGATGATGATGATATCCTTATTTCTACAGTTGTTCCAGCTGTTATAATTGTATCTATTCTTTTGCTTGCTTTGCTTGTTGCTTGTATTCTGTATCGGAAGAAGCGTAAAGGCAAGATGTCTCTTAGTGAACAAGAAGCGTATGCTGGCAAAGGAGCACCAGTTATCTTTGCTGATGAACTTGATGAAAAACCAACTGACTGCTCCCGGCCACTGATTCTAGACGAGGAGAAGCCACCACACCCGCCACCTGAATATCAGCCATCATCTAGCGACAGTGCTCAGTCAACTCCACATCAGGACCGAAGAGGGGACAATGACACTAATATGCCTGATAGTACCTCCCCTCTTTATGAGCCACCTCCTCCTGTCACTACCTCTCGAGGGAACAAGCAGCCACGTCCCCATGTACAGCCTCCTTATAGAACCCCACCACCCTATGTGCCCCCATAACAAGCTTTCTAAACTTTACTAACTATATTTGTCTGTATTATCTGTCCTGTCTATTTCTATATAAAAAAAACAAACTTGTCTGTCTGTTTTTAATCACTCTAACAGGCATTAAGTGATGAAATGATTTTTTTTTTTTTTTTATATGAATTTTTTTTCTCCACCTTCTTTAACACATTATCATTTTTCTCCTCCACCATTCTGTTTGGGGATAGATAACAAAAACTATTAAGGAAAAGTTTTTAAGTGGTTGGAGAAGATAAGTTAATGAAAGGTTTCCATTTGAATTTGATGCTCTAGAGATGAAAAACATTTTCTATAATATATGTAATTCAAAAAGAGGAAAAAGTATTTTTTAAAAAAAAAAAGGCTTCTCTGAAATGTGCTACCACCTGGCCCTTTCCCAGAGTTGGGTAGGGAGTTTAATTGAAGGTTAACAATTTTAGAACAAAAATATTTGGTATTTCAAAATGAGTGGGGAAAATCTTATCAAGTCAGATGCTCTTTAAGGTAGAAGTATCACAGGATTTGGATCTAACTTAAAATATTAATGCTACTATTTTTTTTTTCTCTACCAATCTGTAAAATAACTTTTGCAATGAACAAAGGTACCTCACATTTCTCACTTGTAATGTTTGTGCACTTTAAGTACAAGAGGTAATTTTTAAACTCCAATCTTTTAGCTTGGCCTTATTTTCTCTTCTGTACTGCACATCTGTTAGCTGCCTACTTTATATAATGAAAATCATTCCTGAAAGGTAAATGCTATTCAACAGTTTGCAAAGTGACTCATTAGAGATGGCCAGCAGATCAGGTATTAATCTCATTACATGAATACTAGTTTCGAAACAGCTATGCAACATTTTAGTTTCCTTCTGCAGTTATTAAAAATTAATGTATTCAGATTATTCACAGAGAGATTTAAAGTTTCAAGTTTGGTTTTGCCACTTGCTGTTTCCTTTCCTCACCTGACTGCCCCAAATGAATAAAGATTTATAGATTTGCTCAAATTTTAGAATATCAATTACAGAAGCTTATTTTAAATTTATTTTTTATGTGAATAATTGTCTTCATGCGTTAAAAAAAAATTGTATCTTCCAATAACCCACCACTTAAAATGATTTATTTTATTTTTTCTTTCATAATTGAGTAAAAAAAAAAAAGAAAAGAAAAATATTAAAAAGAATTTTTAAATATCAATTTTTAAATCAAAAAGTGCCGATTACATTTTACAGCTTTATTTTATTTATTTTTATTTTTTTTTTTTAAATCTTGTTATTTGGTAAATGTTTCAACATTTTAAGTAAATTAAACAAAAGAATGACTGGAGGAAAAGGGTGGGAGAAACCTAGGCCAAGTTTAGGGAACACAAAGAATGAATTTAAAACTTTATTTTCACCTTTTTTATCTGAACTTTATTCACTCTTGTGGGACTTACGTTTGGAGAAGTGTATGTGTATGAATATATGTATACTGATGTGAATGTGTATCGTTTTGTTTTTAATTAGAATTTCAGTTTTGATGAAGACCTGTTTTTGGGGGGTTGGGAAAGTTTGAGGTAAGGAGATGTAACAAAAATGACTTTCTTTTAATTTGAAGCCCCCCACCCTCCTACACACAAACAGTTATTCTCTTCTTTTAGCATCTTTTCTTGACCTTTGCCTCCAACTCAAAACTATTAGATATGTTTTCAGGAAAACAGGTCCACACATTTTTTTTTTTTTTTTTTTTTTTTTTTGTTGGGAAATTGTTAAATGCCCTCTGCATACCTCATGATTAACACTCAATTATGATGGGCTTGTTACTGGATGTGACTTATTAAATTGGGAGACCCTATTTATCTTGTTCGCACATGTGTGTACATAAATTTAAGAATATCCTGAAGGTTTTTTTCTTTTCCTGGAACAATAGAAACTTTTTCCATACACACCTAAGTTCTTCATCCAACACTGATATTAAGACTCAACATGACACACTTTTTAATACATTTCAGTTTTAAGCCACTTTATGACATAATGTTTTTTTTTTCTTCTCCATTTAATCAATTCTTTATATATACATATGCATACATAACCAAAAGACTTTATTCACCTGATTACTGGTTTGCTTTCTCCCCCGTCTCTCTCTCTCTCTCTCTTTCTTTTCCTACCTATTTGGAGGTGGCTCACCCACAATGAAATATATAGATTTTTTTTTTTCTCTTTCTCTTTTTTTATGACCGAACTTTATCCTGCTGACAATATTTGGAACAATATTTTCCTTTTCCCTATCAAATTTTGAATGACATCAGTAAATGTATAAATATAATTATTTAGTGACAAGTCTTTTAGCATCTATAAAAGTCAGAAAAAAATAACAAATTAAAAAAATGATCAAACCTGAATGAATCCCTCTTTTGTTTTGCTTAAGTGTTTTAAGAGGTTGGTTATCTTTATTTCATATATTTAACATTTTTTTAATAATTCATATTTTGTTGTTCGTTTTCATATTAAAACTTATAAGGAAGAATTGTCAAAAATAAATTATATTTTCTTACTTACTGATGTTATGCTATCAAAATCGCAAAACAAATTTATAGATAAATTCTTACCTGCTCGAAATTGTTTACAAAATAACATTTTGGTCAATCCAGAGAAAAATCTTTTTGTATCTTAACAGTGCCAAATATATGAAGTTGGTTCAGTGTGCCTTCAAACTTGTTGACCAGTGCAGATGAAGGATCCAGTTTGCTTAGATAACTGACCCAACAACAGTCTGTATAAAGAGTTGGGGTGGGGATGTAGAAATCCCCTAGTATTTGGGGTCAAGCATATATTCACACAGGTTCAGAGGATAAATGGGATGTTCATATAAAGTTATAAAATACAAAACAGTGTCCTTAAAAATCAACTAGATATTTCAAAGCACTGGAGCACGATCATTTTGCATTGTTGGTCAGGAGTTTGAATCCTTGCCTGGAGGCTGATTTATTTGGCATTTGTTTTAAAATATGATGTACGTATGTACATTAAAGATTGTCATGGAATAAAACATATGTTCTCAATGCTCTCATTATTTTTGTTTCTGTACATGAAGTCCTTAGCATTTTTTATCTTGGGAAACTTTCTCCATGAGCTATGCTTTTTTTCTCTCTCTGACTTTGAAAGCAGGACAAGATCAGACTTTTTACAGCAACTTGATAGGAACATTTATAAACCCTCAGTAGACAAGTTCAGTTTTAGCACAGTCAAACACTGTGCTTGAAGGACATGATGGGAAATACTGTCATTAATGTTTCCATGTATGCACAGACACTGGAACTGCAGCTGCTCTAATTCTTTTTATCTCATTGCTTTTTAAATTGTTAAAGCAATAAACCCCACCCCACAAAAAAAAAAATGTTACAGTGAAAAAAAAAAAAAAAATAAGAAAATTGTACAGAAACTGAGGGAGTTATCAGAATTAAAAACAAAACAAAAAAACTTTCGTCCATGAAGATTATATATGAGACTTCCCTTCAGCTTTATAAAATTTTTTTTTTTTTATATATATATATATATTCTTGACAAAATACTGACTATATGTTAAAAAGAAATTGTGAGCATAAAACATATGGCCAGGACAAAAGCAATCAAAATTACTTCTAAATCAAATGTACCTTATGTCTTTTTGTTTTATTTCCTAATTAAATTTTTTAAAAATATTTACCAATTTGTTCATTTTTTTTCCCTACCTGTGTAGACATTAAAAAATCTTGTCCACCAGACTGTTCTTTTAAATAATAAAGGATGATAGTTCTGCAAATCATATTTGTAGATAATCTACATTTGATATGGTGAACAAGGCAAGAAAATGGTTGAATTGGTGCTTATGAGAGTTTCAACATGGTACTGTTTACTCATCAAAGTATTTTCAGTGTAACTTTTTCCTTTTAGCTGGTTCTTGTAACATCTTGATTCAAGTGGAATTTTTTATAAAAATTCTGCTAATGGACCTTCTTCAATAATTAAACAATTTTGACATATGTTGAAATAAGGAAATATGTGAGTATTTTATTGATAATTACAAGAAAATGATCATTTCATCACTCTCACTTTTATTATTCTTAATTATCTCACATTAATTTTGTGAGGAAATGAGATATTTTGTGTAATTTTGGATGTAAATTTATTGTAGATTATAACATGAATTCCTCTTTTAATCAGAATCATTATTTAACTCTCAAGCCTATTACAATGGACAATGCATTGAATATATATTGTACAAGATCCCCCCTATGAATTTCTAGATGTCTCACTAGTCACTGCTTCAAAGGAGGTCGAACTGTCATTGATATGGATACCTACAATGAAAAAAAAAAATTCTTCTCCATGATAGTGTTTATAATAAAAGAAAATAAATGCAAAATAATTTCTGGTTTACAGGAGGAAAAAATAGAAAAGTATTTCTATGCAACTGATTACCAGACCATTTCTTTAAAAAAAAAGTTTTTGATGAAAACTGCCACAATTTTTAGGAACTGGTCCTTTCCAAAATATTTTTTCTAAAAGATCAACATATTTCTGATATATCAATAATGTTTTACTGATATATTTCTACCAATATCTTGTAAATATCAGATATAATTGAATTACTTAAATGGAAATAAATGTTTTGCTATTTTAAAAAGCACTGAATCAGAAAACGGAGTAAAAAAAAAAAAAAAAAAAAGTATCCCAAACTTCTGCTCACACTGAAATCCTGAATAATTAAAATCACTTACAATTTATAGATATCAATATCTAAAAGAACAAATCTTTATCATAAAAAATAACTCCTCCAGTATGTTAATTATTTCAAAAAGGAATTCTAAGAAAATAACAAAACCTTAATAGAACTAGTCACATAATATCAAATTGGTAATGATAAATGAGAAAGACAAACAGTATCCATATAAACAGGGATTGCTGCTACTTCAAAAGTAACCAACACAAAATTAAGCCCAAAGTCGGAATATGCAAAATAGATTGCAAAAAATATTTCTA